ACATCGTCGATATACGATAATATCGTCATATCGCCCAGCCCTACTACAGAAGTACCGGTACTTTGACAACACTAATTTCCACACATGGCTCTTTCATCCTTTCTTATCAACAAGTGGATTTACAGCCACCACATCAGCAGCGCCACTGGTCGCCATGTCTCAGCGCTTTCATGAAGAGGACGCAACTTCACGCCCTTCGTGCATGCATGCGCGTCCAGAACCGGGTTTGACCGGGTATTCGTTTAATTTTTTTTAGTACCGACTTGGTACCGAAGTACCGAATATTTTGACAACACCAATTGTTATATATATATATATATATATATATATATATATATGCGTTTCTCTCAATACGTTAATTGCATTGGCAGCCTTAGAAAATTATATTAAACATGGTTTACTAAAGTCATTTAAATCAGAAATTAGCAATTTTTCACTTATTATTAATAATTAGCATTACAGTTTAATTTCTGATAGACAAATCAAGAGGGACTTACTTCTCTGAGACGTATGAGGAGTATGGGTCCAGTGAATCTGGCTCTTCCAAGATGTCTGACACTAATCCATAAAGATCAGCCTCACTCCCACAATTACTGGCATCTACCAGATTTCTATGCAAGACAAACATTAGTATTAGATACACAGTTATATGTAGCCGTGTCTCCTGATGACACTGGGGCAAATTGATTCACTTGCGAATTGCATCCAAGACATAAATGAATGGATGTCAAAAAAAATCTTACAACTCAACCAAGATAAAATAGAAGTTTTGATAATTGGAGCAAAAGATCAGAAAGAGAAATTGACCCCTAAACTAAATATACTGGGATTAAACCCAAGCCAAATTCAGAAAAATGTAGTTGTCTTTGACCGATTTTCATTTTAAGCTCATGTTCGTAATATTACCAAATATTAAAGCCTATATTAAAGTCATTACACTGGTTACCTGTTAGTTTTCGTATTGATTTTAAAAACCTTTTATTAGGTCATAAGGCATTGCATGAATTTGCTCCAGATTATCTCTTAAAAATGCTTACAGTATATGAACCTAGAAGGACTCTCAGATCATCGGATTCTTTTCTTTTAACTATACCACAAAGTAGAACTAGGGATGGGACGGTATGAAAATTTCATATCACGATTATAGTGACCAAAATTATTGTGATTATCAATAATATCACGGTTTTGTTAAAACGAGATGAAAGTGTTCAAAAACAACTTATGCTCACACTGAAAACATTTTTAAAAGTTTTATATTTAATAAATCTAAAAACAACTATTAAAACAAGCAGCTCTATGCACTTTTTAAAGCAAGATTCTATTCTGTGGCATTTCCTTCCTTATAATGACCGTCGTCAATAGCAACGCATTATAACACAGCACATCCATGTATCATTCACAACGGAAGCGCGCGCTTCAGAATCCTCTTGCTTCATTCAAATACAACTTGCCGTCTTGAGTCTCCGTTTTTGATTGTATTGAAAATGAAATCAGAGATGATTTATTATTTACAGAGTTTGATAATATTGTTGTGATCATCTTGTCTGGATGAGTTTTGTACGCTGTACAAAATGGAGGTAAGATTTAAAATCTAAATTCAATATGTCCCCGTAATTATGTGGTAAAAAAAAATCTATATAATAAGTGTGTACAATAAATATATAACGGTACATTATCTCTTAAATGTCACTCTTAATTGAACGTGTTCGTTCGTCTTTGGCTCAAAGTCACTTTTCTTCGCCGAAGCTTCACGTTTATTTCAAGTGAGTGAGATAAAATATTTCAACTCATAATAACATTTTGTGCACAATTATTTCCCAGACGTAGTTTTGGTATTGGGGTCAAAGTTAACTTGCCTTGGGTTCGCTATAAGTTACAACAGAGGGTGATGGTCACACAAGACGGTCGGCAGATTTGAAGTGTTTCCCCTTATAGCAGCGACTTTTTTGTGCATGTTTTGCAGACAGGGTGACCATCCTCGATTAAGTTTCCCTCAAGACTTTTGTAAAAGCCAAAATATGACCACACCTCAGATTTGGACGTCTTAAATGGATGAAAAATCTCCACGGTCACTGCCTTCCGTCATTGCTTCTCGAATAAAAATAAAAAAAAAACGCGCCTGCGTCTGACGCGCCTGCGTCAGACTCTGGACATGATTTATAGTGAGTTATTAAAATCGCGATAATCAAACACGGTTTTAAAGATAATTAACTTTTTGAATGATAATACTAACCGTCAGTACATTTTATCGTGGTTTATAGTGAAACCGGTAATCGTCCCATCCCTAAGTAGAACTAAAAGATTTGGTGATGCTGCTTTTAGCCGTTATGCTCCTCGGCTCTGGAATAACCTTGTGTGCTGAAAATATTAATAGTTTTAAATCTAAATTTAAAAAAAAAAATTAAGCTGGCCTTCCTATAATGTCTTATAATGCTTTATATATTTTTCTTCATTTTTAGTTGCTTATTTTATATTTTAATCCTCATAAACTTCCTTCTTATTCTTGTATTTTAATGGGTCTATTTTTATTTAAAAAGATATATATATACTAACTATTGTTTCTTTCTTGCCTGTAAAGCACTTTGAAATGCATTGATTTGTTTGGAAAAGTGGTAAATAAAATTGGTTTGCTTGCTTGCCTCTTTTGGATTACAGTTTTAACTGTTAATATAGTTAATAACTTACAGTTGCTTCCAAATATAGTATTATTAATATGTGTCAAAATAAAAAAGAACCTGTTATTAGGCATGACTTGAGGCCAATCCACTGATTTACAGTCTTCCTGAGTTGGCCAAACTGTATAAGGTAGTGGTGCACAGTCTTGCAACGTGCAGTCCGAGAACGAGTTGAAGAATCTGCTGTCACTGAAATTATTCTGCAATTGAAGAACACAGCATTTGTTGATAAGAGGCATATAAAAAAGGATATAAAAAAAGACATTTAAAGTATTTTCAAAAACGAAAAATACCCAATATTTGGAAAAACATTCAAAATCATATGGTCTTTTAAAGCTGAGACTGATATCTGACATCTTTATCTAAATAACAGCTAAAAGTAGTTCCAATTACTATACATTGAGACATACAAGCAAATTGCATACCCTCCCTTGATGATTAGGTGAGAGGTAAAATGGCAAATCAATATTCTAAAATCATAATTGTATTAATCATTTAAAAAATATCTTTATGCTGTATTGACAATTTGAACGACAGTATGAAGGTCTTCTCACTTGAGGCTTGTGGGTGGAAAAGTAGGAGTCTGGAACTGAACTATGAAATCTATCAAAGACCGTTCTTGCTCCATTTGTATCCACATTGATTTTGTTTTTCACTGCATTATTAACCTTAAACACAGGAGAAAATGATATGAACATGTCTGAATGGTGTGCTAATGTAAAGGGAAGAAAGTTATTACATTATAATGCAAACGGATAAAAATTATACTATATGAAAATGGACAATAATGACATGACAAATAACGTTAACACAAACAGCCCAACATACATTTTCATGTTATATATAATCATCAACACGTGCCAAGTGACTTTTTGTACATAGTCAAATGAGGCCTTGTGCGGATTTTCTTTCGCCTGGTGATACGACATATCTGTTCTCCTTATAGTTAAACATGAGTCGATATCATTGCCTATTACTTTTCTTACTGTGCTAATGAATGTTTTAATTGGGTAGTCTATGTGTACACTTCGTAATATCTGTATTCGGTCGGTAACCAAGTTAACTTAACAAGTAACGTTAGACAGAAAAAGTGAACTAGCCAAAAGTTTTTCCTCAGAACAACAAGCTCTTAACTTACCTCCATTGAACTCTGCTGGCAGGGGGCCTCTCTCTATAAATTACTAATGATATAAATTATAAATATATATTGTTCACGATTGTTCAAATTAATCAGATGATTTAATGTGAGAATAAATTAAAGACGTCAACCTCACGACGGGCCCAATTCTTTCACGTAAATTTCTCGGAGAAGATCGCGCAACCTCGCCCGTGTCTCTTCGTCGATGTACCCGCGAAGCCTTTGCGGTCTCGAGCTGACAGTTAGTTCTATTGGCTAAACCGGCTTCAATTAGCCAATCAGAATCAATCTAATGGTCGCGTGCAGAGTTGCAGTCACGCTTAGCAACGCATCAGAACCTATGACTCGAACACAGAAGAAATTACATGACGTAGGGATTCTCAGGATTTTTTTTTTCATCAAATGAATGAATATCCCCTTAATTGATTTTTTTCTCTCGCTTTCTTTCTTTTCTTATTTTTATTAATTAATTAGAATGTTCTTAATATAAACATAAAAAATATATTATAAATAAATGCTACATCCCTTTGTTTGTATATCCCTATCCTCAATGTCACTATTATTATCACTGCTATCAGTATTACTAACCTTTTGATGTTAAACTTATTTTAAAATTGTGAAATATAATAAATACATTTAATTAAAAAGAATAAACGCAAAAAAGAAGAAATAAAGCGATAACATAGGATGAATGTCACTGACAACACAAAACCACAAGATGTCGCCACTACCCATCAGTAAGATAGATAGATAGATAGATAGATAGATAGATAGATAGATAGATAGATAGATAGATAGATAGATAGATAGATAGATAGATAGATAGATAGATAGATAGATAGATAGATAGATAGATAGATAGATAGATAGATAGATAGATAGATAGATAGATAGATAGATAGATAGATAGATAGATAGATAGATAGATAGATAGATAGATCAGACATTTCTCTATACCAACTTCCTACCCCAATAGAACAATTAGTTTTAATTATAAAAAATACTCTTCGTTTTCAGATGACTAATGGCATATGGTGTTGATATGGGTCTTCAGCGATTCATTTGGTCCGAAGACCTTGTCCTTGTGTGATGGGGGTTTAGAGTAAAAATCTGTTTCAAGACCCCCGAAATCCCTCCTCCTTCTCATACTCCCTTTCCAAGTCAGCAACAGGCAGCCCAGGGGGAGCTTGAAACAGTCTGGCGGACAAAGGGGGAAAAGTCATGCAGAGTCGCTCCTGCGCGCAACAGATATTCCTGGCAGAGTATGCGATTTACACTAGTTCGTGAGTTTATCGAGACTTTTTGTTTTCGATTATTAAATAATATGTCGCCAAAAGCATAGTTTGTGGACTCACATTCACATTGTATTCAGTGAAAGTTAGGCGGAACTTTCCGGCAGAATGCAGGCGAGTGGAAGTTTGTGTCTGTTTTTGGCACTGATGTTGCCGTGCTGTTCCGTGGCGTCTGGACAGTATCAAGGAGATAATGGGATAGCCGTCCCCGACCACGGCTTCTGTCAGCCCATAACCATCCCCCTGTGCACGGATATCGCTTATAACCAAACCATAATGCCAAACCTGGTCGGACACTACAACCAAGAGGATGCCGGGCTGGAGGTCCACCAGTTTTACCCGCTGGTCAAGGTACAGTGCTCGCCTGAACTTAAATTCTTCCTGTGCTCCATGTACGCGCCGGTGTGCACAGTTTTGGAGAAAGCCATCCCGCCATGTCGCTCCATCTGCGAAAGGGCAAAGCACGGCTGCGAGGCCCTCATGAACAAGTTTGGCTTTCAGTGGCCAGAGCGGCTGAGATGCGAGCATTTCCCAGTGCTGGGAGACGGACACATCTGCGTGGGCCAGAACGAATCCACGGCCACCGTGGCGCCCGTTCATATGCCCGTTCCAGGAACGCCTGGCGTTCAGCTGTTCTCTTCGCCGGACAAACCGTTCCGCTGCCCGTCAGTGCTCAGAGTGCCGTCCTACCTCAGCTATAAGTTCCTGGGCGAGCTGGATTGTGGTGCTCCGTGCGAGTCCTCCAGAACACATGGGGCCTATATGTTCTTCACGGACCAGGAGATTGAATTTGCCCGGATTTGGATCCTTATCTGGTCCTCACTTTGCTGTGCGTCCACTTTTTTCACCGTAACAACTTATTTAGTGGACATGCAACGTTTTAAGTACCCCGAGCGTCCTATTATCTTTCTGTCTGGCTGCTATACCATGGTGTCCATTGCGTATATCGCTGGCTACTTTCTTGGGGATAAAGTTATGTGCAATGAGAACTTTTTTCCCGACAGCTATAAAACCATAGTTCAAGGTACAAAGAAGGAAGGGTGTACGATTCTGTTCATGATGCTGTATTTCTTCAGCATGGCTTCTTCGATCTGGTGGGTCATCCTGTCTCTCACCTGGTTCCTGGCGGCAGGTATGAAATGGGGCCATGAGGCTATTGAAGCCAATTCACAGTACTTTCACCTGGCTGCCTGGGCCGTTCCGGCCGTAAAAACTATTAGTATCCTGGCCATGGGGCAGATTGATGGAGATTTGTTAAGTGGCGTCTGCTTTGTGGGCCTGAATAATCTGGATCCCTTGAGGGGCTTTGTGTTGGCCCCCCTCTTCATCTACCTCTTCATTGGCACCTCGTTCCTGCTCGCCGGTTTCGTGTCGTTGTTCCGCATCCGCACTATCATGAAGCACGACGGCACCAAGACCGAGAAACTGGAGCGCTTGATGGTCCGCATAGGCGTCTTCTCAGTTCTCTACACCGTCCCGGCCACCATCGTCATTGCCTGTTTTTTTTATGAGCAGGCCTTCAGGCAGCACTGGGAGAAGAGCTGGATCAGTACGAACTGTAAGAGCCTAGCCATCCCCTGTCCCATGCAGTCCGCTCCTCACATGACCCCCGACTTCACCGTCTTCATGATCAAGTATCTAATGACTCTCATTGTAGGGATCACTTCGGGATTCTGGATCTGGTCGGGAAAGACGCTGCACTCTTGGAGGAAGTTCTACACACGTTTGACCAGTGGCGGGCAAGGGGAAACCACCGTATGAAATGGGAGATTGTGGTCCATGTTTTCTTGCAATAACTAATTTGAGTTTTCGAATAAGAAAAAGATAAAGTGCCTTAGATTGTCAGTATTTTGCAAGCAATTATACTTGTCTATTTTCAGACTGTCAGAGACTTTCAAGTGGAAAGAGAAATGGGACGTGAACCACTTGGCTTCCCCAAACAAACACAGACAATTTGATACCAAGTGCAGAAATGTTTTCCTCCCCCATTCTGTTGTACCTCTGTTTTTTCTCATAAGCTGCTGGCCATAAAAACTCAACTTGGAAAGTGAGATACCAGCTGGGAATTCAACAAACGACAGAGCAAAGAGAGCCGAGGGGGGAGGAGAGCTCAAAAACTTGTCATCTAATACGGCAGGCAGTTGTGTCAAAATGTAATTAAAACATTGTACATATTTGTAAAAATCTGTATTTGAACATTATTATTATATATTTGTATTTATGCAAATCTATGTTTTTGTGTTTTTCAAAGTTTGACAGTTTTCCCTATTTAGAATTTGTATTGTGGCCACTAGTCTCTCTCTCATATCTTCTATACTCATGTATGTCTCTCTGTTTCAAATTAAAGTTGCTGTACATAATACTCCTCCTTTTCCCTCCGAAAACTTTTAGTCCTAAAGTGAAAGAAAAACCCTTCTCATTATGTGTGTTGTAGATTTAAAGGAATAGGCCTTTAAATAGCCCTCATATACTCACCATCATGTTGTTCCAAATCTGTATGTTTTCTATTGAACAAAACAATATATTTTGAAAATGTGTGTGCGTTTTTGTTGTTGTTGGTTTTTTACCAAAGGAAGTCAGGGGTCTAATGTTTTGCATTTACTTTCATTGTATGAAGAAAGAAAGACATACAGGTTTTGAATGACCTGAGGGTGAGTAAATGATGACAAAATGTTCATTTTTGCATAAACTATCCCTTTAAGCATATAGTTTTGTCATAGAAGTCATTGCTTTAATTAACTGATAATAGTGTATTTGTCTTGAACCTATTCATATTCTTCTTCATATATCTACCAAATCTTTAGACTCTGTTCACAAACACCATCCTAAAACCAGAGTTTGGAATGATTGTATGTGAATCAGAGAGAGAGAGTGCTGTATTTTTTTGATTGTGGTGTGAAGTAGGCAGCCGTTGAGGAGCAAATGGTTCTCGCATGGACCTGAGAGCTGTGGCATGTGGGAAAAAATGGAAAGCACATGATGAAATGTTTGTGTGTGTGTGTACATCACAAACCAGCTTGCTTTACCAAAATGGTGGAGTGATGGTCTGTGATCAATACAAAGCTTTTCTACGGTGCAGGTTTTTATTCCACTAACTTCCTGTCTCCATTTAAGGTTGATTGATTTTCATGTCTACTTTGCTTTAGCCTGTGAGTGTATGTTTGTGAGCTCAGATTTCTAATGCCCTTGGGCAGCCAATTTCATGCTCAGCGAGTCACCCCTTCATACAATGTTGCCTTCCCCCTTTATGCCAAATCTTACTCATTTAACATGCACCACTTTCTATGTGTACTTCATACCCCGTTTTTATTTTCACCAGTTTGTATCCAGAATTTATACATCAAATAAATGCCGTGAGAATTAACATTTATGTGAGTGTATAAGGGAAAGGTCATACACTACTACCATTTCAACTTCAAACTTATTGAATTTTCAAACACTACTTCAAACTTATTGAATTTTTTATTTATTTATTTTTTAAGATGTCTCTTATGCTCACCAAAGCTGCATTTATATGATCAAAAATACAGTAATCTTGTGAAATATTATTACAATTTAAAATAACTGTTTTCTATTTTATTGTATTTTAAAATGTAATTTATTCCTGTGATGAAAAAGCTGACATTTCAGCATCATTACTCCAGTCTTCAGTGTCACATGATCCTCCAGATATCATTCTAATATGATGATTTGCTGCTCAATAAATATTTTATATTATCACATTTGAAAGCAGTTGTGCTGCAAATGCCAAACTATCACTTTTTCAGGATTCTTTGATGAACAGAAAGTTCAAAAGAACAGCATTTATTATGTAAAATTATAAATGTCTTTACTGACACTTTTGAACAATTTAATGCATCCAAGCTAAATAAAAGTTTATTCTAATATATATATAATGCTGTTAAACATGTCAAAGTTTTAATAGTGTTTCATGTCAACTAATGTATTCATGCTCTCTGCAGATGCTGCTTACAAAAGCAACTAAAGAATAACATGTAATTTAATTACATCAGCTGAGAAGGCACAAGTAATGCTATAAGCTTAAGCTTCAAAATATCCCAAAAGTATCCAAAATAACAGCAAAACTTGAAATTATGATACTGTACTGTACAGTCCACGCTCGGGGCCTTTATAGTGCCGGTGGTGTAGATGATTTTTCTTTTTCTTTATTATTTAACATTCATCTTCACAAGATCTTGTTGTCTGCTACAAAATGTAATACTAAACTTGCTTCAGCAGGACTTTACAATGGACATCAAATGAAGACCAAACTAAAATTGTTTAATGTACAAAAGTAACAAAAGTTTTCTAAAAAATCAAACAATGACATTTGTTTATATAACCCCCTGAAATGCAGCTAACAATTCACCACAAGACAGAGTGTAGGCAGCATAAACCATGTTTATACCAGCTGAGAACCACTGCTTTACACATACACACTCCAGTCTCCATTACATTTATTTAATCACACACACAATCCAACAGAGATGATGGAGGGTGCAGAGACCTCAAATAGTATATCGAACTAGAAAGCCTATCGGCTGCTGTGTGTTAATAGAAAATGTTGTGTGTATTCGTGTTTATGAGTCTTAACAGTAAAATGATATGTCCTGTAACTCAGAGTAATCTCTCCAAACATTTAGGCAAGCACGAATGCTCATACATTACACACACGCGCAACACTGGAATCCCCCTGAAAGATAGTCATTCAACTCCCCTGGAGATGATGTCATTACAACGCATGAAGGGCAAAAAAGAAAACTGATCTCAACAAGTACAAAAATTGTCAAATCGTTTTTAAATCCATATTGTTTTCCAGTAAAAAAAATATTAAATCTAAAAACAACAAATTTACTCATAAAGGAAAGTTGACTTTTCATATTGAGAGAATAGCTTACATTAAGTTTATTTTTCTTAGCCCGTTACACTGTAAATGGTCACCTGCAATTGTTACCTTGCAGAGCCATTTTACCTTCTTCAACCCATAACAAATTTTGTTGGTATTAATTAAAAGTTACTTGGTCCCATTAGTTAATGTAAGTTACTTGGTCCCATTAGTTAATGTAAGTTAATGCATTAACCAACAATGAGCAAAACATTTGTTACATTGTTTATTAATATTTGTTAAAGTTATTTAGTAAAAATACAACTGTTCTAGTTGATGTTGGCAGGTCCAATACATAATATTAACAGATACAATATTTGATTTTAATAATTTATTAGTAAATTTTGAAATTAACATTAACTAAGATTAATAAATGCTTTAGAAGTAGTTTTCAACCACGTGTGACTATTTTTTCAGGACTATTCAACCTTTTTTTGTGTGTGTTCACATAGAAAGTGCCAAAACCTTGATGAAACCTTTATCCAGTTTCGTACCATTCGGATGAAGTAAAAAAAATAAAATAAAAAATAAAATACGTAAACATTTTCAGTCAAAAACTACAGAAGAGCAACAGAGGGCTAAGCAATAACTTCACAAAATCCTTAAAATTGTTTGCTTAACAATAAATAATTATATATTTTCTGAAAACAATGTTAATATGTTTTTGCTCCTAAATAAGAATTAGTACTTTATTTATTTATTTAAAGATCTATGTCTTTTAAAATTATCTGTGTAAGAACATTCAATAATGCTGAAAACACACCTAAATAACACTTTCAGCAAACCAAATTTTATTGCTGACTTCTCAGAAAGTCTCAGAGATAGTCGTTATGTTGACAGCTCAACAGTGCTTTCAGATCTGTGCAGAAGGTATTCATGTCTCTCTAAAGATATGCAGAGTCTGTCATCACTTTCATTCTTCTTGTGGCAGATTGATCCCTCAGGGGAGACCAGAAAGATGTAGGTTAGATAAAGCAGATTTGTATCAGATTTGTTACAGGTGATATAAGGGTGTCTTATGACATATGACACAGAGGTCTATATGGTAATATGTTGGCCTGGAGATAGAAAATAATGAATCTACAAGTGTTTATTATTATATGGCTTTCAATGCTTCCTTCAAATTGCAATATACTCCCAATTCCCTCTCTCTTGCTCAGATGAAAGTAGGGAATGCAGTGAGCCAGTGGCCAAGTATAGAGCATTGACTGCACTCTATGAATTTGGCTGGCTCAGTGACAGCTTATATCCTGTGTGTTTGTGTGTGTGTGTGTGTGTGTGTGTGTGTGTGTGTGTGTGTGTGTGTGTGTGTGTGTGTGTGTGTGTGTGTGTGTGTGTGTGTGTGTGTGTGAGATGGTTGACTTGCCTAGGGGCTTGATTTTTCAGCATGGTTCAAGTTGATGACAATCCCTGTTTGCATTTCAAAGAAGGAGGTGGAGGAAAGCATAAATGTAACAACGAAACAATGGAGTATTAAAAAGTTGGATATGGGTTCTGGAGCGGAGGGTAAAGTGCACTTTCCATGATGGTTTTTGTGCGAATGGTTGAGGTGATAATGTGGAAAATTCAGCAATACTGTAATGGGCTCTATTTCCCGCCTTATATTTGTCCAGGATAAACAAGAAGCAAAATCATTGGGAGAACAGACGACTGTTAAAAAGAACATTTGGCCTTTAACCTGCAGGCCAATAATGAAAACAGCAGCCAACTTTACCAAACACTTACTGGTATGCAAAATTGGCACACTAAATGCTAAAAACTAACTGCACTAATCAGTTTAAACATCACATATGAGTTTAACCCTTTACACACTGAAAACATTTTTAATGATTTCATGTCTAAGTGACACTTAAAAGTAAGGGCTTACAATTCTACAAAAAACAAGGGTAACTTCATGGTCTCATTTGGTAGAAAACCTTTCAAATTTGCCAGAATTTGAAGAAAATTTATTTTGATCATGCTTGGAGCCTGTTATATTACAAAACTTCTCTGGTTACTCTCATCTCACATAACCTCGGTTCTCTGAGAGGAGGGAACGGAAAATTGTGTAGCTAGGCTATGGGGTTATCCCCCTCCTTCCACAAATACTGAAGTCTGATTACATCGCACCAGTAAAATTAACTGGCCAATGACTCACGAACGCACAAGCTAGGGGCGGAGGCCCCCCACTTAGCTCGGCGGTCACCATCATTGAATCAGAATCTTTTGACTGTTTGAATAGCCATACGAGACTCTGGGAATTACAACACAGTAGCATGTGCAATGTCTCGTTCCCTTCTCTCAGGGAAATGAAAGCTCTAGCTAAGTTCTGCCAGGAAGACTCAATCGTTACGTCACTTATTACCTTCACATCTAACCAATCATGTTCTAATACTTGTAGTATAAAAGATCGGTACTTACACATGTCTGAGTTTGCAGATGCTGACGCCAACATTCACCTCCATCCTCCCCACCACCACCAGGATGGTCCCTTTCCATAC